AGGTGTTAAGAAAATAAGAAAAGCTTAAGGACCAGAAGATCACAAAATAGCCAGAAAAAACATACATCTCTCATTGTGGGCTCATAAACATCCAGGTAAGTGCAAATGAAATTTTATACTGTCAATCTTTCAAATGACCTACCATCACTCTCACCCTCTTGAAGATCTACATGGCAAAAAGAAAATCACATATCAGAAAAAAAAATAAACTTAAAGGTCTCAGGTTCTGTCACACAGTGCAAATATGTCATGCAATTTGTCTCGCAACTTTTTAATTTTGTGCATGCAATGGCCAAAATCTATGAAAAATATTGTGATAAGCAAGTTTCTCTTCTTATTATAAACACTGCAGTGACTTGTCTTCCATCTATTTTGCTAATTGAAAGGCATCCTATAGACTGTATCATCAATAGTGATGTATTTGAATTCCCTAGATGCACAAATCTGTATACCATTAAAACTATTAAAGATGTATGTTCACCTCCTATTACAATCAGGCATTTGGCTAGAGTGTACCAAAGACCCCATTGTTCTTGTGACATGTAAAAGCCTTTTATTTGTATTTTCAGTGGTTTTCAGCATTTATTTATTAAATGTGCTTCCAAATTTGTTAAATGAGTTCAAAGGGAGATGGATGCTAATCTGGTTAAAAGCCTGGCCCCAGTGGTTTGAAGGGCGGATAGCGCTATCCACCAGATAAATCACTAAATCACTTTTTTCACACACAAGCATACCCTCTCCCTCCCCTGATGGTCTTCGTCTCTGACCTTTGGCAGAGGAGGGTCTTGGAATGCGATTCGGAGGTACCTCTCCATTCTGTAAACANAAAAAAAAAACTTAAAAGGTCTCAGGTTCTGTCACACAGTGCAAATATGTCATGTTATTTGTCTTGCAACTTTTTAATTTTGTGCGTGCAATGGCCAAAATCTATGGAAAATATTGTGATAAGCGAGTTTCTCTTCTTATTATAAACACTGCAGTGACTTGTCTTCCATCTAATTTGCTAATTGAAAGGCATCCTATAGACTGAATCATCAATAGCGATGTATTTGAATTCCCTAGACACACAAATCTGTATACCATTAAAACTATTAAAGATGTATGTTCACCTCCTATTACAATCAGGCATTCGGCTAGAGTGTACCAAAGACCCCATTGTTCTTGTGACATGTAAAAGCCTTTTATTTGTATTTTCAATGGTTTTCAGAATTTATTTATTAAAAGTGCTTCCAAATTTGTTAAATGAGTTCAAAGGGAGTTGGATGCTCATCTGGTTAAAAGCCTGGCCCCGGTGGTTTGAAGGGTGGATAACGCTATCCGCCAGATAAATCATTAAATCACTTTTTTCACACACAAGCATACCCTCTCCCTCCCCTGATGGTCTTCGTCTCTGACCTTTGGCA